AGTAACATAGATAGCTAATAATGTATGCCTGGAAACTGTCTGAATGTAGTCCTATACGATATATGCTATTTCTCAATTGTAGACTTTCGTTAAGAAACTCTTTTTATAACCTTCAAACGAAATCAAGTTTTTGAAAAAAAAAAAAGAACGAATTTCAGATACGCACTCACCATATTCTCATGATCTTGGCATACTTTTTTCTTATTTTGAAAATGGTGGTTAAAAGTGCAAAACAAGCAACTGAGTTGAGTCATGACTAATCTGTTTAGAAGAAAAAGACGAAAAGTTTGTCATAGTAACGAAATGAATGAATGAAAAAAAAACAAAAAACCAACTACCGCACTTTGTGCAGTCAACCACTTTTCAGTCAAAGGGTTTCGGGACACATAAAATTTTGTTTTTCACGACTCTATTTTCAAGTTTTGAAGTCTACTGTTTCTTTCTCCAGTCTCAAACAGGCTGTATTAACAAGGCTCTTTTTAAATATCTATTCTAATTTTTATCAGGTCACGATAAGTGTTTGGAAACATTACTTGATTTTGGCTTGAATCCAAATATAGCCGATCAAACAAATACAACACCACTTCATATTGCGTATGTTAAATAAAAACTGAATTAGATAATTTTATTGATATATTTCTTATATCAGAGTTCGTTCATTAAAATTATCTACTGCTCGTATTTTGCTTTCTTATGGTGCTGATCCAAATATGATAAATAATCGTGGTGAAACACCTATAGGTATAGCTGAATATTTACAACCTGATCAAAAACAATCATTTATTAATGTACTTCTTCGTAAGTAAATTTTTCAAGATTTTTTTTTTTCTCCATTTTTTTAGACAATGAGATTATTTAAAAGAAAAAAGAAAGAAATAATAATATATCCCTCATCCTAATTAATCTTATCTGTAGCATCTGATATAAATGAAGAGAGAAAGAGGAAAATTATCTACAATACCCATACCTTCATCGGTAACAATACTAAATCTAGATTCAACTATAGACACAACATCGACAATGACTGGAGGTGTGCAAATAAAAAAAGAAAACATAAATATATATATTTGTTTGAACTTCTGCTTCTGTTGTTTTTGTATGATTATGATTGTTGGTTGGTTGTCACACCCTTGTATATATATATATATATTTCTATCACCAACTTTTCTTTCTTCTTCTTCGTCACAGAAAAAAGAAAATTGATTTTTTTGTTAATTTAAATATAGAAACAAATCCATAAGAGTTATTGTTTTTCTCTATTTAGATACACCAATAGTTGAACCATCAGATTTTCGTAGATATACAAGTGGAACAATTACAGGTATAATTCTTTTTTTGAAAAGAACAAAAAAAAAGAAAGAAAAAAATTTTTTTTTTTTCATTTGTGTGTTTGTGTGATTTAAATATCAAACTAACAAATCTGACTTTTAGCCTTTATAAACACATATTTTGATCAGTAAGTGTCCTACACTGATGCATCAGCATGTCATTTTGTTTTGCAGTATTTTGCACTGGTTATGTATGATTTTTTTTTTTTCATCATTATCACTGCTATTGCTACTCATATTGCATGTTTATAACTTATATTTTTTTTTTTGGTTATTTTATTATTGTTTTCGGGTTTAATTTTAGCTTTATTTTAATTAATAATTTGATGATTTAAATTTGTTCTTCTTTTTGAAGCAAATGTTATTCCATATGTTCATCCATTACTTCACGGTCATCTAAATTGGACATTGGATAGTGAAGAATTTCGAAGTCAAACTGATATAAATTCATCTGTACAAAATCTTCTTGATAGTAAGAAGAATATTCTTTTTAATCTTTAATCTTATCATTTATAATAATAGCTACAAGTGGATCATTTTGGTGTTGTACATTGAATAGAGGTGCTTGGGTTATTTTTGATTTAAAACATCAATATCATATTAGTGGAATGAGAATTATTGGATGGTAGGAAAAAGAAATGAACGATTATTTTGATGATGTTTTTATTTTATTTTGCTAGTGATAATCAATCAACACCAAGAAGTGGTCATATTGATGTATCAAATGCTTTTAATGGTCCTTGGTTAAAAGTAAAAGATTTTACTTGTCCAATATCTCGTACGTAGTTTGATCTTTTTAACAAAAAAAAAAAATACTATTTTATATTTTGTTTATAGAAGGCAATAAGAATGATATATTTTTTCCACCGTTTAAAACTCGTTTTATTCGTGTATTTATATCGGATAATTATGGTGGTGATGATATTCGTATACAAGGTATTGGATTTTATGGAGTTGATATGCGTCTAGTAGAAAAACTTCGAGAATATGGACTTGAAAAAAGTCTTCAAACATTATTAGCTAATGTAAGAATTAAATTATTAAAACAAAAAAAAGTATATATATATATGAATTTTTTCTTCTCTAAAATAGGGTATTAATGATTTAGAAACATTGAATGAAAAACAAGATGAAATTTTAAACTCATCTGTAAGTATTATATAGAAAATTTCAAAATATTTCTATCAATAAATTTAACCATAACCTTGAAATATATATATTAGAATATTAATAAATCGAATGTCGATAGATGAAAAACATAACTGATTTTTCTATTTTTAAAAGTGACGAAAAAATAAAAACAGATGAAAATAGGATTTTGAAACAACATTACTTCTTAATAAAAAACACTTAACCGGTGCCTTTTATTTACAAAATCAATTTTCGATATTCAATTAATTGAAAAAAATTTCACTATTTCCATTCTAACTATTCAGGAGAATTTCAGAGATCAAGATATAAAAGAAAAAAAAAAGCTTTCACCTATCAAATGTTTAGCATTCGGATTATTCTCTTTTGAAAGAGAACTACTTACCATTTTAAATGAGAGAATGAATTTTTTTTAATGTTTATTTTATTTTGGTTTTGAAGGTTCTCTAAACTTTAAAATTCTAAAAATATGAGACAAGACTTTTGTTTTTTTAGAAATCTATATTTCCTTTAATCATTCGAAAGATGATGAATTTATCTATTGAATCAGCAATCATTGTTTTTGTTCGATGATCTGAAAAACTTTCTAACATATATATGATTATATTACGTATCAATAAAAAGAATTTACATTTAATATTATCAAGTAGTTGAAGCTATAATGAAAATGATAGTTACAATAGTGCTCATAATTTAATTTGAACAAAGTTTTTATGATTATTAAAATTAGAAAAATTTAAAGTCATGCCTATATATTTTATTTCAAAAAGTATTTTTTTTTAGAGGAACGAATCCACCTTGTTTTGTTTGAAAGAAAATTGACATAAACTAATACATGAAAGTCTTGATACAATATATTCGCTTCTTTTTCAATCATTGAAAGACAACTGAATAGAGCTAGAAGCAGTTAATGGGAATTAGACTTTTTTGCTATTTTCGACTATATGTTTAGAGTTTTTTTTCTGAGTAAAGATTGAATAATTATATGTAAATTTTGTAAGAAAACAGAGCCCGAAACAATATCAGTACAATCTTTCGTTTATATCTTGTAACAATTGTAACTTAGCATTCTTATAGAAAACTAAATATTGTACAAAATATCATAAGTGAATTTTTATTTATGCGTTTTCACACTAAGAAGTTACTTTCGTTGTTTGAAAAATAATCTTTCTTGTATGATTAAATAGTACATGTTGTAGAGCAAACTTTGTTCTATAAAAGTGAGTCTTGAAAAAACTATTTTGCATTTTAAATTTGAATAGGTTTCAATCGAAATATAAAATTGATCAAAAATAATATTCTTGACAGATAGTTATATTCAATAAAATTGTTCAAAATATTTTTTTTTTCGAATTTCTCTTTTTCAAGGACAGATATTTGGATGTTAATGATCATTTTCAATTTATACGATTAACAGAATCATTAAGATGTACGTAATAAAAAAAAATAAATTTCTAAAATTTTAAATAATATATGTATCTTTTATTTTTAAAGCATCAAAATTAACTTTTCTTGAATGGTTCAATCCACCTCAATCAACTATTCTTGCTGGTGACAAATTACAAACATTTAGTGCTGCTGGTGATGAAGCAGTAACAGATCGTGTCAAATTAGAAGAAAAACGTAACATATTTATAATTTCATTTATATAATTAGAAAAAAAAATGTTTTTTTTTTTTTTTTCTAAATTTTCAGTTGAAAATAGTCCACACGTAAGAACAGTACTTATGCGAGATCTTGAACCAATTCAAGGTCGTTCATTAGTTGATTTTCCTGATTATGTTATAAAAGATCGTAAGTATTTTCAGTGTTTTATCCAGAGAAGTGCCCGGGAGGGGGGAGGGGAGGGGCGGCGCTCCCCAGAAAATCGAGTTCGTTCCTCCGAGACTCGCGATCATCGCGCGACGAACTATATGGCTTACCCTCCCGGACTTTCAAATCGCCCCTCCGAACAAAAAAAAACCTGGATAAAACACTGAGTATTCTATAGAATTTTAATTAATTCGAACAATTTTTTTTTCTTTCTAGCTGGTCGATATAAAGTACGAGTTGTAAGTGTTGAATCACCTAATATACACACTTCATGGCAAGACATAGTTGTTGGTAAGTTTATTTGTTCTTTAAGATAGTCATTTTTTTCTCTGTTGTTGTTATCTGTAATTGCGTGGGTAAGTGCGTGCGTTTATCATTATATAGGTATGCTCTATTTAAATTTACCTTGGTAGAATTCTTTTTTTATTTATGTAAAGAGTAAGTTTATTATTGTAATGGATCATAAATGAAAAAAATTATACGCGTTTATTTTTGCTGCTGCTGCTGTTGTTGTTGTTGTTGTTTTTGTTATTATTATTGATCGATTAATTATATTGATCATAGAGTAGGCTTTAAAGATCAATATCAATATCTGCTTATCTCAATTAAAATCCAATTTTTTTTTTCTTTCTTATTACTTCTATTCTTCAGGTATTTTTGTAAAAACAGCAGCAGCAGCAGAAGAATAAATCTAATCTTAATCGAATGTCTATGTCAATTATGCGTAAAAAAAATCGTACAAAATATACTGACGATGACGATGACAATGATAATAGTGGTTATTATAATCAAAATATTGATTACTCAATGAGTAATAATGTTAAATATTTAACACCAGAAAAATATCATTGGAGACAACATAAAGAAGTACCTAATCGTTTGTCAAGATCATCTATTGATGATGAAATACAACTAGATAAGAATACTGAATATACTCTAACACCACCAATATATCGTCTTAGACAAATCTATCCTGCTTTATGGAATTCTAATGAAAACAAATATAATCATCAAGATCAACAAGAATCATTTGAAGATATTGATCAAAATAAAGTAGACATATCGTATACAGAGTATCCTGTTATGATGGAAGATTTTATATTAACAAAAAAACCAATTGAAGATGATACTACTTATTATTATAAACCTAAACATACACAAGTATCATATAGATACAAAGGTGCATTGAATAATTCTGAAGTTCCAGAACGTGCAATGAAAAACATAAATGAATATGTTCCACAACCAAATCGTAATTTATCATCAAATTCTCTAGATGATGAAAAATTATATTCAAATAGACCATCAATATCAAATAATATTGATCATCGATATCAATCATTTGCTCATAGTAATGGATTCTCACCAACAATCATTCCATTTTCACGTACTGTTCGATCCACAACAGATGATAATTTGAATGATTTTATACCTACAAGTTTTCGTGGACAGAATGGTTCATATTCTGTATTTTATCGATCACCATTATCTTCTAGAGAATATCTTCATGAAAAAATTCCATCGAATAACGATAATTATGTTTCAACAGAACTAGATAGCAAATATTATTTCGGTAAAGGATCTGAATATAATCCGGCGAATCAACAAAAAGACTATTCTAACAAGGACTCAATTTGTGTATCATTTGGGCGTGAAGTGCAACCAAAACCAGTACACAAACAACCATTAGTAGAACAACCAGCACCCATAATAGAACAACCAGCGCTAACAATAACACAACCAACACCAACACTAAAGCAACCAACACCAACACTAAAGCAACC